GTGTTCACTAATATTTCTGGGACTATTATATTCAGTTGGAAAATCCCCAGCATTATTGTTTAAAGACATAAGGTTGCTTATGTTTACACTTCCTTCAGAAACATGCCTTTTAGTTCTTCTTGATCTTCCGTAAATAACAGTTACTGTAATACTCTTTTTATAAATACCTTCTTTTACTTCTGATATGAGAGATTCTGGGCTTTTCCTTCCAGCACTAACGGGCTCATTCTGGCAAACAGTGATGTCTGTTTGATCAGTTTTAGGCTTTGGTGGTCTTCCAATTGGTCGCTTAATCTGTCTCACAACTTGGGGACCTATTTTTTTTGGTCTACCTGGTTTTCTTTTAAAAGATGGATCAGTAGCACTGCTTGAATTGTCCGTAGTTTCTTCTTGTGGCTTATCACTATTTATATCACCTATAAACATTGTAGAGGATCCTGAAGTTTCTTTTGCATGATTGAATTTGTTTAGTTCTCTTTGAAGAGTATCAGTATCATAATGATTGGAGTGATAATTTTCAGAGTTCGCATTTGAGATATCTTCATTTGTTTCTGTTTTTTCTTCAGTTACATGATGGATTGTAGGTTTTTCAGAAGGGAGAACAACATTTGAATGGGAAGTACCAACTGAAGTTAAAGTATATTTGACTCCTTCACTACTTTTAACCTCAGATAAAAACATGAGTTTGATAGGACTAGAATAGTTGGAAACAGATGAACTTTCAATACCTTCATATTTTGCTGGTACATTTTCAACACTGGAAATCAAGCAACCCATATCTAAAATAGTTGACTTTTTCAGATTTTCAAGTCTTTTGTTATTCAAATCCATTGTAGGCATGCAATGACTTTTGATAATATTGCTGGATGCTACCACAGATTTTGATAAGCTCTGTTCTTTGCATGTCATTCTATTTAGAGTAAGAGTCATATTTCTGTCAGCATTTTGATCTTTACCATCAATTTCTATCAATTTCTTGGATGCTTTACATCCTTCTGATAATGGCTGATTATTCCAGGATTTATTGGCTATATTTATTGTATCTTCCAAACGCTTCACAACAACTTGTAAATTAGAATTCATTGCAATTTTGTTTAGGTCTATATTGTGTGAGCTTTCAATGTGAATATTTTTCACTGGAACGTTTTTTGTTATGGATTCGGATACTTTTTTGGCTTTAGGTGATTTTTTAAAAACATAATTATTTGTTACATATATAGAATACCACCCTGGAGGCACAATATTTCGTTTAGTTCTGCTCAAAAGTCCAGAAGCATCATTTCTCAAAAGAGTTTGAGTATTACTTAACTTAGGATTTTTCCTATGATTTTGCAAAAATTGTTTTCCATCTGCAGATTTCTCCTGTGGCTTTCTTAAGCTCATTTTCTCAGGGGAAGTTGTTTTAAAGCTTTCTGAAAATGAATTAAAAGACAAGTTAGTTTCTGAGCTATGAAGAGGTAGTTGCAGTGACTGTAATGCATAATTTGGTGAAAATGATGTTTCAACATTTTTATCTTGAAGTCTTTTAGAATTTTGTAAAGAAGACCCTTGGTCGTGATAGAATTCTCCTTTGTCTGATGAAGATATATCATTGTTTTGTGTCAACTTCCTTGAACTTTTCTCGGTGTATTTTTTTCTTGTAAAATTTTCATCGAGACTAGCAAGTTCTCTTTTTATCTGTAAAGACTGCCTTCTAAACATGGGTGAATCAGAGGAGTTGCACATTGCAAATAAAGTTTCTTGACGCTTTCGAAATCTTGTCTGAATAATTTTATTTTCTACCTTTTTATCGTGTTGACTCAATAATTCCATAAAACTATAATCACTGGCTTTTGCATTATGCAAGAGAGACGTTATGAAATCTCCCAATTTTAAATCATTATATGTATTACAATCACTGCTAGATAACTGTACAAGGCTTGTCATATCCGTGGTTTCTATTGATTTTAGTTTTTCATTAATGCGATCCATTAAATCTTGAAAAATTACAGCAGTTTCACCTTTTTCATGATTTGTAGCAGAATTATTGCTGTCATTTGAGAGTAAAGAATAAGAGTTACTGGATTTTTTAGTTTTAAGTATTTTATCTTCATGATCACTCTTATTGCTGCTTATTTCTGCTGGTGTGAGAGATGGAGGCTGGTTAATGTTTGCTTCAAGTTTGTTATTTTCTAAGGCTGAAATCTCTGAGATGACGTCTTTCAATGTTTCAAATCCTTCAGTTTCTACAGGTGATAATGGTGGGGGTGAGGGACTTCGAGATCTACTGGCATCTTTAAGAGTGACTGAAAGATCACATACTTCCTTTGACAAAAGAGGACTACGAATGGCTGATTTTGTAGAGTGAATGTTTGGTAACAGTCCAGAACAGCACCTGTGAGAATTATAACTGTCTGCAATTCCTCTATTCACTACTGGCTTAATGTGTTCAACAGTTACAGTTTGGCAAGATAAACAATTTAAATCTTTAATACAGACTGGCAGAGGTTCTAAACCAGGGCTTTGTTTTTCATTTTGTAAACAACCTTTTTCTGCCAGCCTATATTCACAACTACAGAACAGACCATATAAATTATCTTCGATTAAGGGCTTTTGAGATTCTGAAGACACAACACATGATGTATTACAACAGCAAAGAGAAGCAGCATTCTGCTCTTGGACTAGAAATTTCAACATAGCCAAAACTTGTTGCTGGTGATGTATGCACAAAGATTCCAAAACTTTGCTTAATGCTGATTTTCTTTTTTCCATTTTAGAAGCTTCCTCTGATTTTGCATCAACAGTTGAACTAAAAATAAAAATCAAACAAAAAATGAATTGCAGCAAAAATACCACTACAAGGAGTTATAATTTTAACAGCGTTCGAAAAAAGATATTTTGGTATTGCTGGACTCCTGACTCCTAGAGAGCTGCAATAATGGCATTTTGATTATTGTTTAGCAAAAATATAATGAAGCACTCATAACTAATTTCCTACAACAAAGTATAAGTCAAAGCAAAGCCCTATTTTTGCAATATAAAAGCTGATGATTATACATATGATTACATTTATATATTAATGTCTAATGTTTTGAATGTATTAAGAATATTTAATGGAAAGTGCTTCAGAAGGAGTTAAATTTTTATAAAGTAGCCATTTTATAAATTATTCTGATACATAATTATCAGTGTACATTAGTGCAAATAAGGAAAATAAAATGCAGGAGTACAATCTTTATTTAAAATAGATATTTTTTCCAAGGCAGTGAAAATAGTAAAAGCTTCCCATAATCACAAGGAAAATTAAGGGATTTAGATTTTATATAAATAAGAGAATGTCCTGCCTAAGATTAAGCTGCAGGCGTTAGCTATTTAAAAATAAAATCTATTTTTAATTGATGTTAAATACTAAAGTAATTTCATAAAAGCTAAAGGCATTACTTACCTAATTATTAAGTTTCAAATGCCGGAAAATGGCCCACTACAGAAACTAATATACATCTAACTTGAACTAAGAACCGGGCTTGCTTATCAACCAATATAGAAGTCTACAAATTTTTTTTTTTTTAATCCAATACCAGCAGCAGGAAGAATAAAATATATTTAAAGAGTTCTGTTTCAGAAAAGTATCTATTTTAATTAAACATATCACCAAACTCTGTACATGAAAATTGCCTTTCACTTACAGTTTATTACATTTGTTGTTTTTAATAGTTCCTGATTTCTAGAAATTTTATTTAAGGTTGGAATAATGCTGATTATGAATTACTATTGAAGAATGTATTTTTGCTTAACTACAGAATTTTTATGCTCATCTATATTAAAAATTATAAGATTTTTACTTTAAAACAGGAAGTGGAATATTTTTATTTTGCTGCCTAAAACTGATATAGCCTGTTTCAGAGATAAGTAATATTTCACTTATATTTTATAAAAATTATGTTATTTGAGTAGCAAAAATAAGAAAGCAAATTTTAAACGTGATCAAAACTTTTCTGGAAAAAAAGATTAACTTTACTAGATTCAACCAATGTTTCACTAAAACTAGTGATTTGACATAAAGAAGCTATCAAACAAAGTGAGAAGAGATATGAAATTACAATAAAACTTTTAAAGTCCACTGCTGCCTCTAGACAGATGAAGATAGGACATGACCCTAGTATCCTTTCCTTTTTGAAAATAATTTTTTATAAATTTTGTCATGGTTGGGAGTGTAAAATCATGCAATTGACTCCCAGGATTCAATCAGATAGTTTTAAAAAATACATGTAGAGAGCAAGGGCAGGAAGAAATGATAACTATCAAAGATTACGATATAATTATATTATTTTCCAGCAAATTAAAAATGACTAATTTTCACACAAGCAAAAGAAAACCCAGAATGTTGTGAGAGATGCACTTCAGCAGTTTCTAAAGTGATGTTATGGCATAACAAAGAATTTACATGTTTCTTGGAAAAATATGTTGTATTTTAAAGATTAATAACCATTCATAACTCTTCCTGAAATGCTCAAAGGCCTTTTTTTTGTTAATAAAGCCAGGTATGCGGTATAAATAATAAAAACTAATGACTAGTGTTAAGTATTCTGAAACAATGGTGTAATATCAACTTGATTAAACTCACAAAATTACAAAACCACTTTTTATATCCCTCTTCTGACATTCTAAGCAAAGCTTTTAGAGTTTTCTTATTCAGTTTATTAATAATGGAATTTCAAAAATACTATGGTAGCCAGTAATTCCCATCTAATGCTATAAGAACAGCTTAATAAAGGTATAAATTAGATATTCAGATATTAGATTCTATCTTATGTATCAGATAGCAGAAAACTAAGATCTCAAATTATAGAACTTCACAATATGCTTATTTGGCTTCAAACATTTTCCCCCATATTTGTTGCATGTTAAGATCTTAAATAAAAACCTAGTAATGAGTAAATAATAGTTGAACGCACAGGTAAGTATCCAGCCTAGAATTATTCTCGGGTGATTATACAAGGTTCTAAAATTGTATTTTTTTGGTAGATCCTTTGCTTTTAAAGTTTTCTAATCTTTTCCTGTTTGATTTATAAACCAAACATCCTGCCTATTTTTAGTAAGTGACTATCCATTTTGCCCATTAGAAACATGTTGGAATATTTCTTCAGAAAAAGTAAATTAGAATACTATATTTAATAAAACTGCCTCCTAAAGTAAATCAAAGAAGTCAGTGTAGTCAGTTTTTTCTTTTCTTTTCTTTTTTTCTTTTACTGAATAAGTAAATCAATCACACACCAACAGTGTTGTAAATTTAAGTGCAAAAGCATTGAAGTGCTTTACTACAAATTACAACCTAGAAACACGTTAACTGAACAATTAAAATTCATACAATCAGATTTAGATATATAACAACACAAAGTAGGAACAGAATTACAGTACATTTACAACACAAGACAGATACATGAATTCATTAGAAAATATTGTAATAAATAATTCATGAATTATAGTGCAATTGATTTATGCATAAATATAACTAATTGCCTAACAATCAGTTTATATTAACAAAATCTGTCAAAATCAAGGCAGCCACAGAGTTTTACTAAATTACTGCGACAATGGAAATACTGCAATTAAAAAACAAATACAAGTATTTGTACTGTAAACAACTAAAAAAATCAGTCTCACTAAAGTTAGTATACAATTTAATATAAAATTGTCATTAGCTACCAGAAATGGTTTAAACAACTTTACTGAGCAGTAGTTTTCTAAAAACAGAGGCACTGTTTTTTCTTTTCCTTCTTTTTTTTTTTTTTAAATATAAAATACTTGAGGAACATTCAAATAAGTAGAAAGCACATAAGGATTGCTTTCACCTTCATTAAGTCTGCTGAAATGGGATTTTTCAGAAAATTGTCAATTAATAAATAGTAACTGGTAACTAAATTCATAAAGTACTTTGAAAGTTTAACATAAAGGTCATCTTAATAGAACCACTGGGGAGAAGGGGAATTTCCCTGCCTTTCCTAGTTTGTATAATCAAATGTTAACTCAATAATAGAAATGTTTTGTTTCTTTTAAAAGTTATGGGTTGATTATTACCTATAAACTATCAAAAAATATTTTAATTTACTATTTCTGACCAAAAATAAATAATACAAGTACTAAAATGCTGCAAATTAACTATAATATTACCTATAAAACTACTGATTACTGTGAAGTCAATAGCAAAATGATCCCTGATTTATGAATCCTGTAAAGTTTTTGGTCAGGTCATCTTTTAAATGATACAAAAGTGTTCTGTAAGTTTCCCTTTACTATAAACTTCTTAATCAATTTATTAATGTAAATATAGTGTGAGGAATAAAAAAGCTCAATACAATATAAATATTATGTAATGCATTCAAAGCCCCCAAAGTTTTCCAAGTAAAATTCTGTATAAAGAGGTCAATAAAATTGTTTTGAAATATGTACTTTACCTTTAACTTTGTTTTTCATTGGGGGAAGGGGGAAATATACTAAATAATCCAAGTTCTGGCCCTCACAAAATATGGCTTAATTCTTTAAAAAGAAAGATGACCCTGACATCTGCTGTTCTGTAATCTATGATGTATATTTTCTTGGGTTGAAAAAAAAAAGAGGATTCATACCCTAGTGTGTAGGTAACATTAATAGCTGAAGAGGGTTCAGTATAGATCTCAGAGACCAAATAACTGCTTGGTTGTGTAGTTTCTCACTCTTCAGTTTCTTTAAACATGTAAGCAGTTTTAAAATTTAATAGCTGAAAATCTCTTTAGTATTACACGTATATGTGATTATTAAATACACACAAACACAAGTGTAAAAACACAAGTATTTGACAAGGTGCACTTATTTTTAAAATTCAGCTAAAAGTATTCCTTTTGGACTTAGGAAAACTGGCTTAGAAAAATGATCAGAACCTGAATTTTAACAGAGAAAGGGGGCACTCAGAGAATTTTGAATACATAAAGCAAATCCCTATTCTTTATATGAAGGCATATGCTTTATAACATTTTACCACTACAGTTGCATACTCCATAAATCCAACAAGGATACTTTGACCCATATTTTAAAACTGCTATGTAAAAATGACCAGTCTCTCTTATGAGTCTAGTAAAAGTTAAAATGCACTGCCCAGCTTCTAACTACCCAATTAGTAGAGTTTACATTACTGAAAGTTCAAAACAGCTTCAGTGTTAAATATTTGTAAATCTATTCAAGACCCTGAACAAACTGCAAATTTGGTTATTAGCAAAATGATAATGTATCGCCCACCAAAATGAAATCTGCAATTCATTTTGATAAACTGAAAATGTCTTGAAATGTCACAGCAGCAAATATATTAAAGTTACACTGAGGTTTTTCAATAGTAGGAGTGTGTCACAATCCTTAAAATTTAAAGTAGTCATAACATCAACTAACCAGCACATTTAAACCAAAATTATCATTCTCAAGCTTTTTCTGTGCACATTATAAACATGCTCTAAGTTGCATTCCAACTTTCTTTTCTAACCTTACACATTAGCTTATTTTTCAAATGAAAAACAAAACTAAATTATTTTAATAATTAAATTTAAATTATTTTTTGTTCTTAGTACTCCATCTTATATTAAAGGGTTCTATAGCTGCTGGGGTTAACTATGTGTCAGTTTTTTTTTTTTAAGTATATACCTTATAAACCCCAACTTCTTGCTAAATCAACTATTAAATGATAAATATTAAATTTCATTATACATATCCTTTAAGGTTTTCTTTTCTATTCCTGGTGGATGCACTTGAGTGCATTTTGTATTTCATAGAATGCACTGTAGTGTACTAATACTGTATATATTAATTTTTCTTAGTATGGAGATAGCTGTCTATTTAAACTTTGATTGGTTGTTTGACATACATACAACAACTGTTAAGTATGTTGTATAGAATGTTCATAAACTATTAATACCATATTTCCATTATAAGATGGTTCAACTGAATGGCTGGAATGGTCTTTCACCAATAAAAATGTTTCACTTGACAATTACTCGTTTTCCCACAACGCTTTATGCTATTGACTACTAAAGAAAACCTGAATCTTTTTCACCTATTTATACAAGGATTAAATACAAACTATCAGAATTAAGTAAGCAACTATATAATTCTGTCCACAGTGAAAACCCTGAATAAAACTTTTTTTCAAAAGGCATGTAAGTGGTTTTTGAACTGTAAAATTTCATGTCTCCTGTCAGAGTGAGCATTTGTAATTCCCACATGTGTGTATATAGACACACAAATACACACCTGTGCACATACACACACACGCAAACACACACACACACATTTTCCTAACAAGTAATCTACACAGGCTTGCTGCTGTTTTTGCAGCTGCCAGTCCCTGAATCTGTCATATTATATAACCCAGTGTCTGGTAATCGTAGTTTCTTCTTCGGAGGAGTCTTCAGTGTTCCAGATCTTTCTTTTACCTTGTATTCTAAAGTGCTGTGAGGTACCCCATAAATTCCTTGTGCTTTGGAAACACTCATTTTTCCACTCATTACCATTGCAATAGCTTCTTCCATTATTTCATGATCATATTGCCGATAGCGGCCACGTTTTTTCCTGGGCTGCTTACTGTCTTTTCGATCTAATCCATCTTCAGTATTTTCAGAGGTTCCATCAACTGTTCCATTTTTAGAATTAAGACACAAAGGAGAGAGGTCCCCATGTAGAAAGTAAGAGTCAACACTTGAGTGAGTTACAGGCCCAGAACATTCTATTTTGTTCTGTTTAGGGAGTATATTTTTCAGTTTTTGGAGAGCTGATCCTTCTAGGACTGAAGAGGTTTTGGAAACTTGATACATAACATCCAGCAGACCAGAACCATCAGGTTGTGATTTTGAGACAGAACTTACTCGTAGCTGAGGAATTTTTAACTGTACAGTAGGATTTGAAGTTTCATATTGGAGGCTTTCATTTTTTTCTTTAAACTGAGTGACCATTTTCTGTAGAGTTAGCTGATGGAGGTAAGTGGAAGCTGTTGGGAATTTTAATTCTGAGGTTTCAAGTAGATTGAGTTTACTTTTTTCTGTGCGCTCTGCTTGAGCTCTTGCCCACAAGGCTACTTTTTGCAGCACTGCACAAGTTTCTTTACTGTCCTTATATGAATAACTATCATGGAAATCTCGAGTTTTGTTTTTAAAAGATGCAGGCTTCCCTGCTGGTAAGGCTTCTAAGTGAAGAAGTAAAGTTTTTTGAGGTATGCCATAAAGTATGCCTGCTTTATTTATGTCCAGTGCTCCAGACTGAATGTCTTTCAAAGCTTTTGAGAGCAAACCATCTGCAAACTCAGCACTTCTTTCCACATAGTCCTCTCTGTTTCTGTGTAGTCTCCTGGATGGATGGAATGAAACGATGGTAAACTGATGCATGAGAGACTCTCACACAGCTATGGAAGGGGAGGGTCCACTCCTTTATTATACTCCTTGCTTAGGTAACATCACTGCTTATGACACTTTTAAGTCTGTGAGATGTAGTAGTTACTCCTTATCAAAGCAAACGCTACAGTCCTGGTAGGACAATGTGTCAATGATACGGTGGCCTCAACGGGCAGACCTTCCAAGAACATAAAATCCTAACTCAGTATTTGTAAAAATATTCTCATGATGTTGCTATTCCTCTGACAGATGCTTGTAGAGCAACACTTATAAATTTTATTTGTACAATTAGAGTTCCATTATAAAAAGTACCCAAATCCTAAAGGAGTTTTTGTTAGTACAAACGTGACGTTACCGCTAAACAAGTAATAAAAGAGTCAACCCCTTTAAAGGAAATTTGTAGCAGCAGGAATATTTCCAAACACAAACATCCCATATTTCCACAAGACTAATTTTTCTCTAGATAAGAACTTAAAACTTGAAACAAGTAGATAAGTTATATTTGAATAATTTCATTTTAGATATTATCAATGTCACTTCTATTTCAAATGTATCACTGTAATTTTCAAAGTTTCTCAAACAGAAAGCTTACTATACCTTACGACTCAAATACTACTACAGTCATAGTTGAAACAAATTACAGTCTACCTCTAAGATTTAAATGTGACAAAAAAGCTTCCTGTGCAGTTAGTTAATGGGAAGATGCAAAAAAGTTGTAAAAAAAAATCCAAAAATCCAACAGAACAGCATTTCACTACTAATTATTTATTTAATGATTAATGACACTTTTCAAAACATGAAAGGACTTTTTGTGGTGATTACTAGATATGCTTAAGTAGTTTGCCACCACATCTAAAGTGCAATAAGAAAATCTAAACACTATAAACTAGCGTTAACAATTAGTAAGTACAGTGCTTTTAGAATTTGTTCATTGTTTTAAAAAATTAATAAATTACATATTTCCCTTAAAATTGTCTCCTGAGTATTTAATTTAATATTCTCTTACTTGTCCTGCTTCTTAGTTTGTATTCTATGATTAAGTTGGTAGTTCATTTTAGTAACATGAACTAAAGTTTGGTGATTGTTCTGATAACTTTTCTTTAACAGAAAGAATAAAAAAGAAAGAGAAAGGACAAATGAAAGGTATGAGAGAGAGACACTTATGAGTGACAAAAATTCTGGAGGAAAACTATATACGTCAATACTACTCAGAATAGTATTAAGAGTTCTCTGCAGAGATAATTTTATATTAATATTAAATTATATTTCCTAGATATTGCTTACCCAGCCACTGAATTTTCAGAAGAAGGATCACATATGGATGACTCTTCAGATTTTATGCTGGTTTTCTTTGTAGAGAGATCTAACACTCCATCCCCTATAATTTTTGCAAGAGAAAAAACTTTATATTTGCAACAGATAGGCAATCCTTACATTTTAATATTTCATATTTTGTTGATCTACTAATTCATAACACTAGTATTTGATATGTGGCCATTACCTATTCATCTTAAACAGGTTTAGGAACAGGATATGACTGGGAAGGCACTATATAGGAAAAAAAGAACAGAGAAGGAGCTGGCATTGCCAGGTGATATGAAGAAACTAATATATTATATAAAATTTGTCTAAGATAAACTTTTAGTCACCTCTCTACCATTTTGTAGTGAATAGCCATTGATTGCTCATTCATGACTGTTTTCCATTCAAAGCTGCCCAGATAATGCTTTGGGAAGGTAGGAGTGATATAAATTGTACAAAACAGAGAGAACAGAAAATGTGATGATGAGTAAGAGAATTGAATAATTAGCATTTACTAGGACTAGCAAAAGGTAAACTGTGGCTGTATGTATAGGAATATATGAGAACTATATATTTTCTAGAACTCATAGTGTAAAATTTTACTCTTTTAAATTATTGAACTATACAATAGTTAAATCACTGCCTACATAATATATTGTGCTTGTATCTATGACTAAAGACATAACTTACGATAATGCAGCTTTAGAAAAATAATGTTATAAAATAACTGCCTATGGATGTTATTAAAATGCAGTTACTATATAACATTTACGTAAATAAAAATTCAATGATTCAGACTTATTGTTAATCTGGCATACTTCAGGATCAAAAAGTATAAACATAAACCATGAATTTATAACCCAGCAAAGAATTCTGTGAATGTTTTTATTGTTAGCTAAAAAACTAAAAGTTTTAGCTATAAGAAAAATTATTAAAAATACATGGTTAAAGATATATTAATTCAACTGGGCTTAAAATATTCAACTGGGTTTTACTGTAACCATAATCAATCCATGAAATACGTATGTTCCTGGGCAGATACAAAGATGAAAAATAAAACAAAATATCCTATCTATAGCCTGCTATATAGACTCTGACAATAATTCATTGAGTGCTCACTATGTGCAAAGTACTATTTTAGGCACTAGAAGAGCATCAAAAAAAAAAAAAAAAAAGTCACACCAAGTACCTACTGTCAGTCACAGTCATTGTCACAGTGCTTAGGATCTAATGAGATAATTCATACACCCCCACAACCAGCACCACTACCACCAGTAATTATGATAGTGCCACTCTGGAGAATAACAGAGTAAGCTGATAGAGTAATGAGGGTGGGGCTGAGAGCGCTGCTGTTTTATGCAGTGTTATCAGTGCAGGTTTCTTTGATTTGAACAGGGCCCTGAATAAGGTGAGGGTCACCAACTAAGCAGATACATGGGAGAACGTTTCTGAAAGAACAGTCTGTATAGGGGCTGTGATATGGAACCATGTCTGGAATGTCAGAGGAATAGCAAAGGCCAGGGTATCTGAAATGAAGTAAGCCAGGCCAAGAGTGAGCTGAGATCAGAAATGCTGCAGGAAGAGGTTACGCAGCGCCATTGGGCCATGGCAAGAACTTTGCATTTCATTCTGACAGAGACAGGAAGCCACTGGAGGATTCTGGGTGGAAGACCGACAAGATTTCAATTTAGGTTTTTAAAAGATCAATCTGCTATGGCAGAATGGACCGCAAGGAGCTAAAGGTGGAGCAGGGCAACCTGCTGGGAAAAGTGCTATGCTATTTCTTGTCTCTGGGCTTTCACACTTGGAGTTGGTTTCCTCTGCCTAGAAGATTCGTACTCCTTTACTCCTGCCCCCTGCCCTCCCACCCCGCCCAACCCTCTTAATTCTCACCAAATCTAACTCATCAGCCTCACTCAGGACACAACATAGAGTTGGTTGATCGTCATTATAGGTTACTATACCAGTAACACTTACTTATATTATTTAGCAGGTTGTAATGTAATGCTAGTTGCTTATATACCTACCAGTGCTAGCCACAGACTATAAGCTATGTGAAGGCACAGACCACGCGTATTTTATTCATCAATATATCCCTGTGGCTTACAATGGTGCCTGGCATACAATATGTATTCGATTAAATGTTTGCTGAATAGAATTTCAAAGAACTGGAAAAATTCAGTGTGGCCAGAGGTTAGAGCCCATAGATTAGAAGGGTAAAAGGGACAGACTGAAGCAGCAAAGTACCTGGCACAGACTATCTTGAAAAATTATTAAAGACAGTTTCTTGGCCCAGTTTACCCATCCAGCTTAATTTTAAACTTAGTCTCCATTCATCTCAAGCCTCACACGGCTCATGTATCTAACTACTTGTATTCCCTCAAACGTGCTACAAAGTGGTATGCCTCTCAAATTGCAGTACATTGTTTCCTCTGCCTATTTGACTTGTCAAACGTCTACTCATCAAACTTCTACTTATCCTTGAAGACCCAGATCCCCCGCCCAGGCAGAAGATGCTTATTTTGTCTTCCTGCGTGGACAGCATCCTATAAAACGTATGACACTATCGTGCAATTATTGATTTATACATCTTTTTCCCCCATGAGATTGAATTCCTCAAGGTCCAGGATCTTGACTTATTCATTTGTGTTACTAAACATTGGTAGAGTGCTAAAACCTACTAAAAGGAGAAAGAAATGTTTTCTCTGTTCTATCATCTCATTTCTCTTTTTTAGCAATTAAAATTTTACTACTTTAAGAACTTATAAGAAAGGATAACTGCCAAACCCATATTCAAGTTTATAACTTTATTCACAAATTTTGATTTTGCTCATTTTATGTACAGTTTATGGCATATAAAACACACTCCCCAAAGTCTGTTACTCTTAGTCTCAGAATGAAGTAATGAAATTTCCCTGATTCTAAGCTGTTAGACTTGATATGCTCCATTTAAAATTAATCCATAAAATATAAATTATGAAAGGAGGTACAGGAAACCCCTTTCTTTCCTTTACAGATACTATAAAAACTAGGCTGCAGCTCTCTACCTAGGGTAATAAAGGTTTCTTTTCTTTTTTGGACTACTCACACATAAAGCACTAACTATAGCGCATTTTAATCTGGATGAGCTGCACAGAAGCTCTACTCCATCTTTCAGAAACCTATGCAAACAGGCTTATACTTCTGATTCTTTCTCTTTACGAAGCCTAAATAATGACCCCATTGAGAAATGCTTTTCTCTCTTCTTCATAGCCCTTTCTCCACATCTAGGCTATGTTAAAAGTTTTATTCTAAAAGGATTTGACAAAGAAAGTAACGCATTATACTATCTAGTGAAAATGAAAAATGTACTCCATCATATATTTCTGTCACATTGCATTAAAATTCTTTAATCAATTAATGTTTACATAGTAAACACAAAATACATAAATATGTAATAGTTCTAATACCATTAAGAATTTTAGATCAGTTTTAGTTATCTATAGAAAATCTCACTTTTTGTTAGCAGTATTAACCATCTATACTATTTTGCTCATAGCATGATTCCCTTTTCTTCATAAAGCCTGTAGTTCAAGGGCTGGAAAAGTCAAAAGAAGTTATTCCTAGGATTGTCTGAATTAGAAAAACAAAAACAATGAGAGAGACAGCTTGGGAAGGATAGAGAAAGACCAGGAATGGCGGGGGCAGGGGAAGGATATTTTCTTGCTCCTGATAATTACATCTATCTGAATGGTGATTACATCACTCCTTCACAGTGGAGATATAACTAGATTTTGTGTGTACATCATTCCAAAGTACTAAAATTAACCCAAAATACATGATAAAAATCCATTTAAAATAAACTCTTGGAATCCTCTCCCACCATTTTGTAGTAAATAGTGTAGATAAAACTAAGCACTTAGAATGCTATGACAGGATAATATAAACTAAGTAAGTGGGGGGAGGTAATTAATTCAATTTTACTAGTATATTCTCTGCAGTCTATCTTATTACACTGTAATTTATTCCCCATTTATTTACTGTTGGTATTCAAGTTGTTTTAGTTTTTCACTGTTAAAAACAATGCTGAAATGAACATTCTTATAAATTTTTTTGTCTTCATGTACAATAATTTCTCTAAGATAAACTCTCAGAAGTAAAGTGCTGAACAACAGATATTACCAAATTTCACATCCTTGATAACACTTAGTGTTGCTGGTGATTTTTAATTTTTGGTGAATAAGTAAACTTCAGGATTAAAGTGAACAAGATAGTGTATTTATTAAGCCATTTATGTGAATATTTAAAGCACACAAAACTATTTTGTTTATAGATACATAAATAGGTAGTATCACTGGTTGCTTTCAAGGGTAAACAAGAAGATCTAAAAGGATCTTAACTGTATTTCTAGAAATACTTTAGGTCTTTAAGAGAAGACAAATCAGAGGTAAATATGACCAAATAACACATTTATTAATTCTGGTTAACAAGTACATGATTATTACATTGTATTTTTCTGTATATTCAAACTTTTTACTAACATTTAATAATAAATACAAAATTGTTTTCATTTATTGGTTGGAGATGGGGCATTTAACATTATAATTTAGTTATTTCCGATCAAACACTATTGTAAAATGTACAGAATTAAAGATAAGCCAATCCAATCTTTGAACAAGGTCAGGTAATTGTCTATATAACACTACCGGAATTAAAGTTAAAAATAAACTGACGTTTCAAAAATTGAAGTCATGGCCAAATTGGGCAATTTCTTGAATACTCACTTTATTGGGTTAATTTTTAGTTAAAATTCAGATTTCAATTTTTCATAAATTTTCTTTCCTGTATTGTCATGCAAACTTCTGATAAAGGACCTATTCAAAAAGGACAACTGGAACCTTCATAATACAGAACTGCTTTCCACCCCTCCAAGGAAATCATTCTGTTTCATCTCTTATCTGGCCTTTTGCTACTCTCCTCTCTAGGATATTCTTACGGTTTTGTTAATTATATTCAACTGATTGCTAGAAAATATTAGTAACTTACATTAAACCTAATGGGTTTAAAACTGTATTTTTCTATAGTGTACTGAAAGTG